TTCTGTGAATCCTGTAGGAGGGGCCTCCACCCCAGGAGGGGTTTGGAAGAAGCCAACTGCCCCCTGTTTAGGACTTTGGGGCGCAGAGCTGCTCTGCCCGTGCTGAACATTCCCCGCCATCCTTTTATGTGAGAAACAAGCTTCCCTCTGGTTTGAGCCACTGTTTAGTATTTTTGCTCTTACAGCCGAACCTCATCTTAAATAATGATAGAGCTAAGGAAGGAAGGAAGTCTGGACAGGGAAGCAGGTCCCAGCTGGTGATAAATCGCAGAGCCTGAGGGGTCTATGGGGAACCAAAGGCTGAGGACAGAGCGGAGGAGGCAGAGAGCTGGGGCGGCCAGTGACCAGAAGATCACCCGGTCTGGAGGCTTTTCAGACCAGCCTGGGGACCAGCTCAGAAACTGCGCAGCTCTGTGGGGGCGGGGCTGCAGCGGACTTGAAGGGAGAAATCAAGGAGAAGCGGCCATGCCCCCTGCCTCTCACCCACTCTTCCCTCCTGCTCTGTTTGAGCTGGGGCAGATTTTCACCATTAACCGATTTTGGAGTTTTCTTTTCTACCTAAGAGTGGACATTCTGATTGCTGATCTCAGACTGAATAGTCAACCTAAGTGATCACAAGCCCTGGAGGAGATCAGAGGGAACAACCGAGGCGTGGAACCCAGCAGCGTCATCCTCTTGAGGCAGAGAAGCTCTGCACCCTCTAAAACCCTTCCACCCCTCTTCACTCATTCAGCCACCACACAGATCTACTAAAGTGCCAGGAACTGTCTAGGCATTGAGGGCAGGACAGTATATAAAGCACCAAAGATTTCTGCCCTCCTGGAGCTTCCATGCTAATAAAGGAGACAGATGCTACACAGAATAAATAAGAAAAATATGAACTATGTTATGAAGTGGTCAGTGAAAAGGAAATAAAGCTCAGAAAGGAGATAGGAAGTCAGGGGTTAAATCCCAGTTAGGGCAGCTAGGAAAGGCCTTACTAAAAGGCAGCATTTATGTAAAGATTATTTTAAATGTTAGAGGGACACAGTGGAGAGAAAATATAGTTGTGGATTGCTGATGTCATGGGTATTAATTTACCAACATGTGTGTGCCTGCCTGTGCGTGTTCATGTGTGATGGACTTGGGAAGTGGTTCCACAGTCCAATGGACCAGGGTGAGGTGTCTAGGATGGAGACCGAGTGTGAACCAGTCTGAGCCCAGCCCCAGACCGCGAGTTGGGCCAAGAATGGGGCCAAGTGCCGCCAGCTCTGGGCAGCATCAGTGACACCTCCTCCCAGGCTGGCACTATCTGAGAAGGAGGATGGGCCCCAGAGATTGCTGAGTCTCCTGTGTCTGGCCCTGCGGTATCAAGAGCTGGGGACAGTGCAGGGGAACCACGGCTCCACGGCTCCACGGCTCCCCCCTTGCCCACCCACCACCTCTGCCACTTTCTGCTCTCCACAGGCAGATGAGCCTGCTCTGATGAGGATTTTTCCAGGCTGGGCTGGTGGGCTGACCCGGCAGTGGCCATGAAGTCAGGGCAGGGACTATTCCAGGGGCGATGAGGCGTGTCCCTGGGCCCCCATGGCTGAGGTCAGGGAGCAGCTTTTCCAGGAGCAGGTGGAGGTAGGGATTGGGGAGGTCGCCGGTGCCCCCAGCCCACATCCTGTTTTTGGAATGGGCCCCACCATGTGCTTTCCTTTGGACTTGATCCAGGCTAGTGTCTCCCCACCCAGGCCCAGTCCCTAGGGAACCCCAGCACTCCCGAGCATTAACCTAGGGTTTTTCCAGGCAGGGCTGGGCCGGAGCCAGTGTGGGTGAAGGACACATTTCCCACCCCTTCTTGAAATCGGGCCAGGGGTCCCCATCAGCACATGGAAAACCAGACAGGCCCCCATGGCCGGAGAGGAGAGAAAGTGTCACCAAAGAGGTGAGTCCTGGCATGGCTGCCACCAGCCCCACACAAAGCCCTGGGGACTGCCAGGCCCTGGGAAGTCCAGGCAGGCTGGAACCGGGACAGTTCCACCTTGAGCTTCAGAATGTGGGCTCCAAACCAGTGAGGCTGGGTGTGAGGCCAGGACCCTCTCTTTCTTGCTGCGTGACTGTGCCTTAGACCCTCTGAGTCTCAGCTTCCCATCCTTGTCAGGAGGATGACATGAGCTAATTCTTATGATGAGTGGGGCCTGGGGCCCAACCCAGAGCAACTGCACAGACGAAGGAGGAGAATGGTGTGGGTCCAGACTCCTGGAAAGGCAGAGAGGACAAATGAGCACTTAACCTGGGAGTGTCTCCTCCCTGGCCGCTCAGGTCACCCTTGGTCATCCTAACTGCCCTTCTCTATAGGACAGCTTCTCCAGCTACCTAGAGCAGTAGAAGATGACTCAGTTCAGAGCCTTGTGAGGGAAAAAGAAACCTTTCTATTTACTTTTCATATTATAAAATGACATGCTCATTACAGTAAATCTGGAAGTTACAGAAAAGCAGGAAGGAAGCAAAAGCTTTTATTCAAGTCCCAAGGCCAGACACCCTTGATATCCTAAGGTTTTTCCAAAAGGGAAATTTTTCTGGGCTTGGGTTTTTTTTTTTTGTTTTCTGTGACATGGTTGGGACCTCAGCATTAAGATGCAGAGCTGGAAGGGAACTTAGGGACCAGCTGGCCCAGGCTTCTTAGCTGACAAGCCAGGAGACTCTGGCCCAGAAGAACTAAGTGACTTGTAATGTCAGAGCTTGAAGGAGAGTTAGCAGGTGTCTGCTGCTGCTTAAAATACCAGTGCTACCAACACCAGCATCAAACCCTGCGCCAGCCCTGAAGACCGCCTTCAGCGGGGCAGTCACTTGATAGTGGATCTAGGCCTTCCAGTTAGGAGAGTCTGTTGGAGATGGGCTTCCTTCAACAGGGATGTAGCTCTGGGTAACCCCTTTCCTCATTTCCAGCTGGGGACTCAGCCCTGGGATGGGGGTGGGGGTGGGGGGATGAGGGGATGGGAAGGGAGGGCTGGCAGAGGCCAGCAAGGGGCGTGGCCCTGGGCCTGTTCCCAGGGGTGGAGTCAGTCAACAGGGTCACCCTGTCCCTTTAAGAGAAGGGGGAGCACTAGCCCCTCTCAGCCATCCTGTCTTGTCATCCATCCTGGCCAAATCCAAAAGGGAAAATGAAAGAGGGACCTGAAGGAACAGGTCCCAACCATCTCCCAAGGTTCTTCACTCGGCTTTAACATCCCAGCACCAGCTGCAGGGTGAGTGGATACAGGTGAGGGTCTGGGGGCCTGTGGGACCTGTGACGGGGTTGTCGGGGAGTCTCTCGGGAGATACGAGAAGCTGGAATCAGAGGGACACCAGGGAGGAGATGCCAGGAGGTGGGCCAGCATTCCCACCTCACAGATGGTAGGGGACACCTAGGACAATGGATCCTGATGGAAGTGGGGTTCCTTCCCTTTGTGTTCACTCCCCAATTCTGAGAGGAGTTCACTGCAGTTTAAAAAAAAAAAAAAAGGAGGGAGGCAAGAGAAATGGTGAGTGGGGAAAGAAGAAGGTGAATCCTTCTGGGTCTGCTAGCTCCACTTCACCCAGAAGTACCAAATTGGGTTGGAGCCTTGCGTTCAGGGCACCATTCTTGCCCACAGAAAGCATCCTGGAGCACACGAGGGCGCTGCTGGCTTTCTGCTTCCACACAGGTAGTCAGGGGCCGGCAGGGCTCATCTCCGAGGTCCTTTCCCTCCAACCTGGACTCGGAGGAGCGCAGGATCCAACCCAGCAGCCCCATGGGTGTCTGACCAGAGCACCGAGGCGGAGCTCCTCCCCAGCGCCCAAAGTTGAGACTCACCTGAGCCCCGCTAAGCTAAGCCCTTTGTTCCCTGAAAGCCCCGGCTAAAGCCAGGTCTGGCTGACACCCTGGCTCACCTCGAAGTTAGAGGCGGTCCAGCTGATCCCACCCCGATGGGCGCGGAGGGCTGGTCCCTGATCCTTCCGTCTCTGACTGCCCGCCCCGCGTCCATCTCCAGCGCCATGGGGGAGTGGGCGTTCCTCGGCTCGCTGCTGGACGCCGTGCAGCTGCAGTCGCCGCTCGTGGGCCGCCTGTGGCTGGTGGTCATGCTGATCTTCCGCATCCTGGTGCTGGCCACGGTGGGCGGCGCCGTGTTCGAGGACGAGCAGGAGGAGTTTGTGTGCAACACGCTGCAGCCAGGCTGTCGCCAGACCTGCTACGACCGCGCCTTCCCCGTCTCCCACTACCGCTTCTGGCTCTTCCACATCCTGCTGCTGTCGGCGCCCCCGGTGCTCTTCGTCATCTACTCGGTGCACCGGGCCAGCAAGGAGCCGGGCGGCGCGGACGGCGGGGCGGGGGCCCCGGGGCGCCCGGGGAACCGCCGCGCGCGCCGCTGCTACCTGCTGAGCGTGGCGCTGCGCCTGCTGGCCGAACTGGCCTTCCTGGCAGGCCAGACGCTGCTCTATGGCTTCCGCGTGGCCCCGCACTTCGTGTGCGCAGGTCCCCCGTGCCCACACACCGTGGACTGCTTCGTGAGCCGGCCCACCGAGAAGACCGTCTTCGTGATCTTCTACTTCGCGGTCGGGCTGCTCTCGGCGCTGCTCAGCGTGGCCGAGCTGGGCCACCTGCTCTGGAAGGGCCGCCCGCGCGCCGGCCGCTGTCGCCAGGCCGCTGAGCGCGACAACCGCTGCAACCGCGCGCAGGAGGAGGCGCAGCAGCTGCTCCAGCCGCCGCCCGCCCTGCCCACGCGGCGCCCGGGCACCGACCCCTACGCCCCGCCCGCTTATGCGCACGGGGCGCCGGCAGGTGACAGCGAGGGCGGCAGTGGCCGCAGCAAGGCGTCGCTGGCCACCATCCGTCAGGACCTGGCCATCTAGAGCTGCCTGGGGCCGGAGGTGAGGCCAGAGGCCGGACCCCACCTCCCCAGAGCGAGAAGTGTCTCCTCACCCACTGTTGGCAGGATCCCCTGCCAGCAGATGACACGCAGGGCGCATGGCAGCACCCACGCTTCCCAGCAGAGCTAGGGACATCGAATCAACTAAGGCCTGTCCTTGGTGCCCTGATCCAGGCGGAAAGGAAGGAGGCCAGGGAGGCTGAGAGAGGGTGGACCAGAGGAGGGCAGAGTCAGTGGAGAGTGGAGGTTCTGGAGGAGCCCTGAGTGTTGTACTAGCAAGGAAAACAGCTGTGATACCAGCATCCCCGGGAGCCTCTCCTTGTTCAGACTGAGGTGTGGCCTCTGCTGAGGCTCTTTGTGTACATGCACACACACGTGTACACACATTCGGTGTGAGCATAGGTGCCCTCTCATGTGTAAAACCTGTGTAAGCACTTTGTGTGTGTGCATGCATGCATATATATCCTGTGTGAGCTCTGGATGTGTCCATGTGTGCATATGCACATGTCCATCTTGTGCAGGCTCTCTGCACACACGTGTGCCTACCCCGTGTGCGTTCTGCATCTGTGCGTGACACAGTGTGCCCTATGTGAGGCGTGTGTGTGATCTGTGACGTGCCCTGTGTGGGTGGCCAGGACCCAGGGCAAGCAGCAGCCGTGGAGGCTCCTCCCTTCCTCAGGAAGATCTCCCCTCCTGATCGAGCCCATGCAGGAGGGGCGCTGGAGGGGAGGCAGTCCTTCACCCTGGGCAGGCCTCAGTCCAGGCACCATCTGCACTCTCAACCTTGTGACCTGGGCTAGGTGGCCGGGCCCTTCTTTCATGAAGACAGAGTGGGGCTGGGGCTGGGGTCAGAGGGCAGGACTTTTTTCTAGCTTCCTCCTCCTCACCCTGCTGCTGTTACCCCAGTCCATAAACATCCTCCTGGCCCTGAATTTTCTTCCTTCATTTCTTCCCTCACCCCCACCCTCTGGAAATACAAGGAACTGTCTACAGGGTTGCCTCCTGTTCATTCCTGTCTCTCCTCTGCCCCCATCAGCTTCCTCCATCACCACCCCCGTGGGGATGCTCTCCATAAGCAGCCAGCACCTAAGTGAAGGGCTTCTCTAGTGGCTCAGAGGGTAAAGAGTCTGCCTGGAATGCAGGAGACCTGCGTTCAATCCCCGGTCAGGAAGATCTCCTGGAGAAGAGAATGGCAACCCACTCCAGTATTCTTGCCTGGAGAATCCCATGGACAGAGGAGTCTGGCGGGCTGCAGTCCCTGGGGTTGCAGAGAGTCAGACACTACTGAGCAGCTAATACACACACACACACACACACACACACACACACCCCTAAGTGAAAAATCCAGGGGTCTCCATCTAACCACACCTCTGGGAATTCACCAGACTCTGCTGAGCAGGCTGCCAGGGCCCCACTCTGCACAGTTTTCTTCTACATCCCTGGTCATTCCCTCTCTGTCCTCCATTCCTTCACGCCTCTGCCTCAGCTTTCCTGCCTGGACTGCACACGAGCAGAGGGGAGAGTCTTTCTAAACAGGTCCCCCTGCTTACTTTCTGGGGCCCCCGAGTCCTCAGGGTAAGTCAAGCACCTGAACGAGGCTTCTGAATCCCCCATGTCTAGCCCTGTTTCATCAGGTCTTCTGAATCCCCTTCACCTCAGCTCCTCCAAAGCTTCCATGCTCCAAACCGGTCTAAACTTTCTGTTCCTACCAAGTATGGTACCCAGATTGGCTTCTAAATGTTTCAACTTGCTCTTCCTTTGCCTGGAGCAGCCTGCCTCTCTGCCGCCCCTCCCCTTCCTCTAGCTAACTCCTGCCTACCTTTTGGTCTCACTTGGGAAGAAAATGGATGTCTTCCTGGACAGATAGACTAACCCCACAAAACCAGAGCTAAGGCCCCAAGGCAGCACTTCTCTTGGATGCATAGCTCTCTCCTCCTCTCAGGCCCACAGTAGGTGCTTGGTAAACTTGTTCTGGGGGGCTTCCCAGGTGGCGCTAATGGTAGAGAACCGGCCTGCCAATGCAGGAGACATAAGAGACGTGGGATCGATCCCTGGATCGAGAAGATCCCCTGGAGGAAGGCATGGCAACCTACTTCGGTATTCTTGCCTGGAGAATCCCATGGAAAGGGGAGCCTGGTGGGCTACAGTCCATAGGGTTGCACAGAGTCAGACACGACTGACGTGACTTAGCATGCATGCACACAAACTTGTGTTGGAGGTGTTCTCCAGGCCCAAGCACTTATCCACTCTCAGAGTGTGCCGCCATCTCTCCGCCCAGGGTGAGTTCTGTGTCCGCCTCCCAGACCCTTCCGCACAGACTCAGACATGAATGTCCAACTGTTTCCCACGTATATTCATTCGACAGATATTTTTGAGCACATACTATATGCCAGGCACTGTTCTACAGAAAGAGAACGCGAGCCATCTGTGTCATTCCAAGTTTTCCATTAGTCACATTACAAAATGAAAGGAAACAGGTGACATTCATTTTTGTAATATATTTTGTTTAACCCAATAATCTAAAATATTATTTCAAACACATCATTAGTATAAAAAAGATTATCACGGAGATGCTTTACATGTTTCATTTTGTACTAAGTCTGGTGTGTGTTCTGCGCTTGAAACCCTTCTCAATTTGGACCACCCAAATATCTCAGATTCGGCTGTCCTCTGTGACAAGTGGCTGCTCTATTAGCAGAGCCACATGCAAAACTTGCCATCAAAGCTTACATTCTGGTGGAGAAGGCAGAAAATAAACATAGACTGTACTACCAGCCAGTGTAAGTCAAGAGAGAGCGCACGACACCCCTGAGGAGTGTCGGGGAGAGGGACCAGCAGCGGTCTAGCCGGAAGTCTCTCCAGGAAGAGCATTCCCGTTGGAGGAAACGGCAAGAGCAAAGGTCCTGAGGCAGGAGTAAGCTGAAAGTGTTGGAGGTCCGAGAAGAGACTGGTGTGGCAGGAGTGGTATGAGGGGGGCAGAGGGGGTCACCAGTAACTCAGATGGCATCTCAACCTCCTTAGCTCTCGCCTCCATTGCTGGGGCCCCCAGCCACCCTGGCCACCTCCATCCGCTGTTGCCATAGCCTGTCCCCTGCCTGCCTTCCACATCCCGTCAAGCATCTGATCCTCTCGTTTTTCCACCTATGCATTTCCTCCCCTCGTCACCTGTTTAGAAGCTACCCAAGATCAGCTGTCACAGATGGCCTGGTGTATGCCTTCCCTCAGCCTCTGCTCCGGCCCCTGTGATTCTAATCTGAACACCACTCACCGGATTCAAACCCTTCACTGCTGGCGCCCTCAGGATCCAGTCCCACTCCTGAACTAGCCTTGTCCTGATTCTGTCCCAGCCTCTACACCCTCACCTCTTTATTTTAAATTTATTTTTTTAATGGCAGGATAATCGCTTTACAGAATGGCATTGGTTCCTGCCAAACATCAGCATGAATCAGCCACAGGTATATATGTGTCCTCACCCTCTTGACCCTCCCTCCCACCTTCCTCCCCATCCCACCCCTCTGGGTTGTTACAGAGCCCAGAGCTCAGTTTGAGTTCCCTGAGTCATTCAGCAAACTCCCATTCTCTCTCTGTTTTACATATGGTAGTTAAGTTTCCATGTTACTCTCTCCGTATATCCCACCCTCTCCTTCCTCTTCCCCCCAGTTGTGTCGGTTGCTGCCCTGCAAATAATTTCATTGGTAGCATCCTCTTAGATTCCATAGATATGTGTTAATATATGATATTTGTTTTTCTCTTCACTGTATATAATAGGCTCTAGTCTCATCCACCTCATTAGAACTGGTTCAAATGAGTTCCTTTTTATCAGCCTCACCTCTTTTACCACTTCAACCAAAGCCCAAAATGGTTAAAACACACAGCTGGGGATAATGTCTGAGCCCAGAAGCTTTTTATTACCTCTGCATCCCACCTAGCTAACTCATCCCCTTAGAGATTTCGGTGGAGCAGGGGGGACAACCTCTTTCAGGAAGCTGTCTAAGCCCTGCTCCAGGCCTGGTTAAATGAGTCTTGCATTCCCGAAGGCAAAGCACATGTCAGCCGTTGATGACCAAACTCCGCAGCAGTGGTTCTCAACTGGGGGCGATTTTGCCTCCTAGGGGACATTCGGCAATGTCTGGAGACATTGATGTTACCTCACGACAAATAATTCCCAGTGTAAAGTGTCATGCGTGCTGTGGATGAAAACTGATGTACGGTGATGCGCTGTGAGCCATCCAGAGCGTCCTCAGGCCCCAGAGGGTCCCAGAAGCAAAGTTACTCTTCCAAGGTGGGCGTTCTGTATGTGTGGGGGTCACTGACTTAGTCATCACAAGGAGGAGGATCCTACTGGAATTTGGTGAGCAGGGGCTAGGAATGCCAGTGTCCCCCCACAATAAAGAATTGTCACACACACGTTTAGAATGTCCCACTGACATTTACATAGTGAAAAACCTCTTTATAATAACCTGAGCCCTGAAACCTGACTCTGTTTTACATACAAAATATTGAGGGTTTAGTTTGGGATTGTTGTTGTTTTTTTTTTTTTTTTCACATGGTGGTATTATTCGTTATCTGTTTTTATTTCAACTTACACCCATACTCTTTAACTTTCCTGGGCTTCCTGTACAGAATAACTTCTGACCTTCTTTTAGATCCAAATATGTGTTAAAAATAGAAGCAAACGTAGGACTGTGTCCTATTGTCTGGTGATTGTGCCTGTGCATTGACATATTGAAATTCACAGTTCAGGTCAGTTCAGTTCAGTTGCTCAGTCACGTCCAACTCTGCAACCCCATGGACTGGGGCACACCAGGCTTCCCTATCCATCACCAACTCCAGGAGCTTTCCTTTACAGGACAGTGAGACAGTATGGTGATTTTTTTTAAAGCACGTGTTTGGTGTGTTATATTAAATTTCTGTCTAGTTCATAAAGAAACCTGATGGGAAGTATTAGAAAATATTTGCTAGAGGAAAAGAACGCCAACCGAGGCCAGACTGTGACATAAGTGAGAAGCTGGCGCCACCTGATGGCTGAAGTAGAAATGGCAGGTGGATCCCCACAGAAGAGACTCTTCCCACACAGGCATTTCATCCTGCAGGGGCGCCTGCTAACCCTCCCCAAACACAGCTTCTACTGCCAGCTCCCAAGACCTCCCCCAAGTGCCTCGGTGCCTGGCACTTCTTCAAGGGCTTCAGAGAGCCAGGGAAGAGCTCTGGCTGAGAGGTGGGAGCCTATACTGTTGTTCACTTAAGTCCTGTCTGACTCTGTGACCCCAAGGGCTGCAGCATGCCAGGCTTCCCTGTCCTTCACTATCTCCAGGTTTGCTCAAATTCATGTCCATTGAGTCAGCGATGCCATCCAGCCATCTCATCCTCTGTTGCCTCCTTCTCCTCCTATCTTCAATCTTTCCCAGCATCAGGGTTTTTTCCACCGAGTTGGCTCTTTGCATCAGGTGGCCAAAGTAATGGAGCTTCCGCGTCAGCATCAGTCCTTCCAATGAATATTCAAGATTGATTTCCTTTAGGATTGATTGGTTTGATCTCCCAGTCCAAGGGACTCTCAAGAATCTTCTCCAGCACCACAGTTTGAAAGCATCAGTTCTTCAGTGTTCAGCCTTCTTTACAGCCCAAATCTCACGTCTGTGCATGACTCCTGGAAAAAACCATAGTTTTGACTACACAGACCTTTGTCCACAAAATGATGTCTCTGCTTTTCAATAGTCTAGTTTTGTCATACTTTTCTTCCAAGGAGCAATTGTCTTTTAATTTCATGGCTGCAGTCACTGTCCAGAGTGATTTTGGAGCCCAATAAAATCAAATCTCAGTTTCCATTTTTTCCCCATCTATTTGCCATGAAGTGATAGGAGCTCTTACTACTATTCCCTGATCTGCCGCTTACTTGTTGGGTGACCCTGGGCAAGGGCACTGCCCGCTCTGGACCTCGATGTGCAGGGTGAGGGGGTTAAAACTGGCTTCTACGGGCCCTCAAGGCCTGTGACACTCCATTCTCTCAATCAGGAGCATCCAAGCACCCCTGTCACCTGCCTGTCCCCTGTCCCTCCTGCCCACAGAGGCGACGCTAGGGATGGGACAGAGACAGTTCTTCCTAGAGGTGGAAGAACAGGTGGGCCGGCCTCCCAGTTTCCATCCCAATCCTGAGTTCTTCTTAGCTTGCAATGAGCAAGCCCCTGACCCAAGTACCCCGGGCCAACTGCCACTCTTGCTGTGAAGGTCATCAGTGGTCACTAAAGGTAGAATTCTGCCACTAAATGACTCTGACTCAAGCTCTAGCTTCCCCAGGGCTAGGGACTCTCAGAGAGCTGAAGTGGCTTTCTCTCTTGGGCTGGGGACTCCCTGAAGGCTGAGGCGGACTCTCCCTCTCCCTCAGCCCTCTCCACATGGCCCCCTGACAGGCTGTAAGGCCCCTAGACCAAGGGCTTGCTAAGGGCAGGCCTGTCTCCTTCCAGTGTCTCCAAACTCTGAGCACAGCAAGGCAGGCCCCAAAGGCAGCTCGGGCCCCAGTCCCTGCCCGGACACGCAGAGAAGGCGGCGAGGCAGCGAGGCTCTGAGGCACGTGTAGAATAAATATAACTTTATTCTTTATCCAGTAGATCTCAGTGGCAAGTCCAACAGTAACAGGTGCACCAGTGGGCTCTGGGGGGGATGAGACCCCCAACCCCGGGGCAAGGAGGGCAGGGCAGAGCCAGCTCCCCTGGCCCGGGGGAGCAGGGGTGACGTGAGGGGACCCCCTGTAGGCCCGTCCTGCGGGGCAAGGAGGGGGCACGGGTGTGGGGTGGGGGGCAGGCCAGGGAAATGGAGGAACTCAGGCCATGTGTCTGTCGGCCTGTCTGTCCACTGTGTGTGTGGGGGGGGGTGTGTGTGTGTGTCTGGGGGCCCTGTGGGTGGTGCTGGTGGCCGTGAGACTGGAGGGCAGGGGAGCTCGGACCCCCCAGCCAGCCCCTTCATGGGGAGGGGAGCGCTGGAGGGCCTCGATGACGTGGGCCATGATGGGGAAGCGGCTACGCCGAGGACGCAGGGCGGAGAGACGCACGCCTGGATGTCCTGAGGCCCCGGCGCTCTGCCCCCAGCCCCACCTCAGGGGTGAGCCGCTCCTACCAGGGGCTGCCGGGAGATGGTCCTTGCCCAGTGGTTAGGCAGAGAGGGAGGAGAGGGCAGGCCTTGGAAAGGTACTACTTCACAGTTTTAAAGAGAAAACTGAGGAGGAAATGGCTGGGGAGGGGGCGGTGGGGGGCACAGGGACTTGGAGAGAGAGAGGGGAAGCCCCTTTCGAGCCGCTCCCCTCCCCCGGGGCCCACCCCTCCCTTCCAGCTCTGAATCCAGCTCCCCCCAATACACAGCACACTTCAGTATAAATGTGCTTAAAATGAAAATTCTTATTTAAAAAAATCAAAACCAGAAAAAAAAATTAAAATAAAAACAAAACCAGCGAGAATTAATACCTGGGGGTTGGTATGGCAAAGTATGTACAGGGGATTCCCCCACCCCTGGCCCACCCCCTCTGTCACCAACCGAGGCAGGGGGGGTTCCCCAACCGGGGGGCAATGGCTTGTGAGTTCTGAGGATGGGGGAGCCAGGTCCTGGCATTTGCTGGTGATGAAGATGTGGCGAGGTGGGCAGAAGGGTGTCTTGATGAACACGAAGCCCCCAGGCCCCATCCCGAGGCCCGGGGCCAGGGGTCCTCACTCAGTCCACGGCCACGCCCCTGCCGTCAGCCCAGGCTCCAGGAGCGGGCAGTCCATCGAAGGCCCGGGCCTCTGTCGGAAGAGTCGCCGCCACCTCCTCCCTCCAGTCCCCCGGGCAAGGGAGGACAGGTGGGGCGCAGGGCTGGCGGGGGTCACATGGTTGGTAGAAAGGCAGAGAAAAGCCAGGGCACGGGGTGAGGGCTGTGTCCACGGGGCAAGGGCAGTCACGGGGAGTGGGTGGCCGGGCTGCTTCTGTTTGAGCTGGGGCTGAGGCTGGGGCTACAGCTGCCGGGCGGGGGAGCCAGGCCGCCCCCGTCCCGCCCCCCACCCCCCGCTTGTCCGCTCAGAGTGTCCAGGCCCTCTGAGTTCTCCAGCATTTCCTGGATGAGAGGTGGCATGGAGCCCGGGATCTCCATCTTCAGCGTGATCACCCGCTCAGCCCCTGCAGGAAAGGAGGGACAGATGTCAGTGTACCCACCACGCTCCTCTGGCCCTGCACACAAGGGTGGCCCCAGGAGGGGGCGTGTCATGGATAGGAGGATCCACATTACCAATATCAGCTCCCACCACACACCGAACCCAGTGCTGTTTTCTGACATAAGCCAGCTCTCCTAAGACCCCACAGCTGAAGGGCAGCGGGGAAAAGTGGCTCCCAACTCAGGCTCTGGGGTCACTGGACTTGATGCCAGGCCCTTCCTACGTGCTGCTGCCTCTCCTACTGATATCTCAAGACAACTCTATAAATGTTATCCCTGCTCTGCAGATGGGTAACTGAGGCTCAGAGCCATTCTGTGACCGGCTCAAGGACACACAGCGGTCTGGTTCCAGAGCCATGCCCTGAACTAGCATGCCAGGTGACACTGCCACCTGGGGGCTGACAGGCAGGGAGGTCACCTGGGCACGGTGGGGTCCAGGTGAGTGGGGCATCACATGGGCACAAAGATGCGGGGTGCCGGCTCAGATGCAGGAGCCCTGCTCTGGACATGGATAGCAGACACACAGGGAGAGAGCCTCACCCTTAGCGCTGATGCTTCGCAGGTCTGTGATCTTCATCAGCATCTTGGGGAACATGTGTGGGCGGCTGGGCCTCCGTTTCCGCACATAGACCTTCAGTGCCTCAAGCAGCGGCTCCTGCAGCATGTCCACCCTCTCTGGCTGCTCCAGGTCCTGCCGGTCTGAGGAAGCAGAGAAGCCGGCTCAGTCCGGGGAGGAACACAGCTGCGGGCCCCACCGTGATCACCAGGGGGCGCACGTGTCCAGGCCATGGGCAGAGCATCTCTGCTCCCCAGGCCTCCCCACAGAGAGGTCCTAAAAGGCTCTCAAATGCAAGCAAAGAGCGGCTGGGGACAAAGGTGTCCCAAAGCTCGCCCTGAGAGCCCAGTTCATGGAGGTCACACCCCTGAACACAAGCAGTGCCATCTTAAGTAGAGGCAGGTCTCCCACTCCTGCCGGTTATTCTGGACACCAGCCCAACATGGCAGAACTCATAACAATAAAATAATAACAGCAGTCAACATTTACTGGGTCTTACTCTGGGCACACTGTGCCTTATTTATTACCTCCTAATCCTCCCATCAACTTTATGAGGTGGAGACCATTACTGCCCCCATTTTACAGAAATGGAGGCTCAGAGAAGTCCAGCAACCTGCTGAAGGTCACATGTTGGCCAAGATTTGAACCTGGGTGGTCTGACCTCCAAGTCCTCATTCTTAAGCCCCCTGGAGGGAGCGCTGCCTAGAAATAGGGAACCAGAGCTCAGGTCTTCATCACTGTTCCATTGCCCTGTGGCCACAGACCAGACGCTGCTCCGCTGGGACTCAGCTTCCCGTCTGACAGGTGCCTTTCTGATCAAATGATCCCCCAGTTTCTCCCTGGGAGAGGCTCTGCAAGCCGCACCACCACCCCTGGGCCTGGCCCCCATACCCAGGCCCCTGCCCACCTCCACAAATGAGGCAGATGGCACTGAGCAGCCCAGTCTCAGCATCATCCATCTCCAGGGGCAGCAGCTGGTTGGCGAAGGCGAAGACCAGGTCCGTGAGCGGGCCAAAGCCGGCGTTGTGCATCTGGGTCCGGTTCAGGGTCAGCCCGTCCGAGAAGGTCATTGTATCCTGCTCGGGCGTGTACCGCGTGCAGATCCGCAGGATCTGGGTGCAGAGGGTTCTCGAGTTCAGGAACTCACATCCGCCAGCACTTCCGGCACCAGCATCCCCCCAGGACCACCTGGCTGGCAGCCAGACCACTGCTGTCCTACAGAACCTTCTGTGCAACACAGTAGCCACCAGTCACACTGTGACTGCTGGGCACTTGAAACACGCTGAAGTGCAACTGAGAAACTGAATTTAATTTTAATTAATTTCAATTTAAAACAGCCATACACGGACAGCGGCTACTGTATTAGACAGTGCAGATCTCAGCATCCTGCCTCCACACGGAGAATTAAGAGGGAAACAAAGCATTTCCAGGAAGGCCGAGACCAAAGCGGATTTTGGTCTGTGGTTCCCAGGGCTGGGTACAGAACAAGAGCTCAGTAAATGTACACCATCTTCAGCTCTCTCAAACTCTGACCCTGCCTCTTGCATCTCCCCTCCACCAGGAAGAACAGCCTGGTCACTCCCCAGGTTCCCAACCTTGGAGGTGGCCGAGAGGGAACAGGAGGGCTGAGGAAGACAGGGAGGACGATCCTCCCTCCAGCCTTGGATTTGACAGTCTCATCCACCCCCATCCTGCCTCAAGTCCAGCCCACCCTCTGGCCCCACCAAATGCCCTGCAGGCCCCTGAATCCCACTGGTCCCAAACCAGCAAGCCTCTCACATACCGCACACACCTCTAGAGGCTACCTCCTCTGGGGTTCGTCCCTAGGGCCCAGCAGTGTGGCTCTCTGTCCTGCAAGGAGGGGACAGCCCTCCCCCATCTGCAGCCAGCACTTATCACAGTTTTGCAACCTCTGTTTACCTATCTGTTGCCTCCACCAATGGAAGATTCTCTAGAGGGGACAGCGGTATGTTCACCTCTGTTCTGACACCAGTTCAAGGCCTGGTCACACAGGGTCCCAGGTGAACCTTTACTAGACTGAACAGATGGGAAGATGGGTGGTTGGACGGAAGCATCGAATGAAAGATGGGCTGAGGGTGGATGGACGTGACTAGAGGTGAATGGGTGCACACCCAGGTGCTGAGTGTGGCTAAGCAGACAGGCAGACACGCGGGGGAAGGAAGGGTGGCTGTTTGGGTGGGTGGGCCTTTGGACAGGTCGACTCCAGATGGATTTTTAGGAAGGTGGTTATTTCAGTGGCAGGACATCCTCCAAGAACACAGGGGGCAGTGCCCAGGTGTGCAAGGTGCAGACCCTCACCAGGATGTCCAGGCAGGCAGCCTTAAGGAGGGTGATCTGGTCCGCAATGGTGAGGGTGGTGAAGCCGGGCAGCTGCTTGGCGAACTCCACAGTCTTAATGATGCACTTGGTGGAGAGTTCACTGAACTTGTCCCAGAGGTCAATGTCCAGAGAGACACGCTGTTCTGAGCTGTTGTTCTGGGAGGATGGGGGGGGGGGGAGGAGAGTGAGGGCCTTCCCCAGGGGGCACCCTTCTGGGCCTGGCTCTACCTGCCCCCCCCCCGCAGGCCTGCCCTCTACCAGCCTTCACTTCCTGAGAGGCGGCGAACGGGAGGACAAGGCAGCCCAAGCAGGAGTACGGAGGGGCAGGCCTGGAAGAAGCAGGGGTGCCCCTGGGGGGCTGTACCCAAGTGTATTTGCCCAGCTGGGGGGAGGGGCAGGCCTGCCAGCAGAAGGGGTATGAGGTTGGGGCGGGGAGCGGGCCATACCGTAGTGTATTTGCCCAGTTGGCAGAGGGCAGGGAAGGTCTCCTGATGCGCTTTGCGCACCTTCTCGATGAGCTCCCCCACCTCTGGCGTCAACGTGTAGCTCTCGGAGCACTCGGGCTTGGGCACCTCCTTCTTCTTCTTGTTCCGGTCATTTCTCACAGCTGTGGAGGGCCCAGGCCGCTCAGTGAGAGGGCAGGCGGGGTCAGTGGTCCATCCCCCCAGCCATCCATCCCCAGCCCAAGCTCCTCCCACCAGACTGAGAGCTGTCCCCGCGGAGGCCACTGGGTGCAGTCAGGCACGCACACCAAAGTGCACACACACGTGAGTGCAGACAGGCGGGACATCCACACACAGTTGGTCCCTTGGCCCCCCCTGCAGTGCCCACCCGGCCCACACGCCAGGCCTGCCCCAGGGCCTGTGACCACAGCATGCATGCCCCAGACCAGCTCGCTCTCCCGACGTCTACTCCAGCTCACTCTCCAGGGTGAAAGCCACCCGGCAGTGGTCGGGATGGGCTCAGAGCAGCTCCCTGGGCGGGCAGACACGAAGTAGGGCTCCCCAGCCTGAGAGTGGGGGGCCGGGTGGGAGAATCTCTCGGCCCATTAGCCGGGGGAGCTGACAAATCACCAGGGGCGCTGAGCCGCACACACCACTCGGCTTTAAAGAAGCGATGGGGTCGTTACCAGCCGATTATCCCAGACACACAATCACTCACAGGGCCAGTGGTGGCGGCTGCTGACGCTGAAGGAAGAGAGGGTGGGGGGTGGGGGACCCAGGGAGGGGGTAGCAGGGTGGGGGGGAGCTGGCATAATTTGGAGATCACTCATGTCGATTCTGCAAATTCAATAAAGTGCAAGGAAGAGAAGGGAGCGGGAGAGGGAGAGAGGGGGGATAATTTGGGAAGAGAAAATTGCAGCTGTGACAAGACGTTTATCATTCGGAAGCTTTAATTCTATTGAAATGGCAGCTGCTCAGCTCCGGGGCACGGAGCAGCCAGAGAGGAGAAGGAGGGAGGGGAAGGGGGAGTTGGCGGTGAGAGGGAGAGGGGGCCCCACCCTGGTCCCCCTGCCATGAAAAGCTCTGGGATCAGAAGGTGGCAGAAGCAAAGGAGGAGGAGGTGCTGGGCCCTGCAGGGAAGGGTCCCAGGCCTGTAGGTCCCAAGTTGTCATCCGCTCTGCAGCATGGAGCCGCCACTTCCTACGCTACAGAACAACACAGCCCTTTCCTCCTGAGGCAGGAGGTGGCCGGGTACTTCAGGGTCCCACCACTCCTGTCCCCCCACCATGTCCCCTCCCCACTTCCTTCTTCCACTGCCCTGCCCACAAAGGGCTAGAGGGTCCTGCAGCCCCCTCCCCCACCCCAGCCCCCAAGGCTCAGGCTCCATGGCAACGGCCACGCAGACAAGGAGGCGTCTGTCAGCGTCATTTATCTCTGACATCATCAATCACCGGTCACCACGGCAACACCCATGATTCAACACAAGAGGGTCTCCCTGTCCAGCCCTCCTTCTCTCCCTCTATCAGGCCTCAGCTGAGCCCAAACTGGAAACCCCCATTCCTCTGGGACTGGAGAAGTCCCAATTCGCTCTTCCAACTCCAGGTCCCAGGCTCCACCAGACAAAGGCTCTTAGATCCCTATGCCTGCAGCAACCCCCAACACACGCACACAAACACCCAGCAGCACCCGTCCTCAGATGCACGATCAGCGGGGGGACTCAGGGATGCTTCTGAGCCCTGCCCCAAAGCCAGTCAGAGCCTGGAAGCAAGCTGGCAGGAGCAGACACGTGCATCCACGTGAGCAAGCACACGCAGCCCGCCTCACACGAACAGGAAGGGCTGTCCGCACATGGACACAGATGGTGAGACAGACAGGTCCGTGCAGCTATACAGGAACTGTCCTCACCCGCAAGCCAGGGCACCGCATCATGGCAAGGCCCGTTCGCACCCACACATTCACCCACATGCCCCTGCTCCTCTGGCTTTAGGGGCCAGGAGCTCACGCCCTGCCCGGTGCACGGCGCGGCCCCGTCAGTGGCACTCACACTCCTTGGACATGCCCACTTCGAAGCACTTCTGCAGCCGGCAGTACTGGCAACGGTTCCGGGTCACCTTGTTGATGATGCAGTTCTTGTCCCGGTGACACGTGTACACCATGTTCTTCTGGATGCTGCGGCGGAAGAAGCCCTAGGTACAGAGAGCAGGGAGGCAGGTCAGCCACATCCACAGTCAAGCAGTGCTGGCCCATAGCCTCAGTCTGAGGGCCGAGGGTCAGGCGATTGCTGCCCCCAAGCCTTTGGCCATCCCCTACCTGAGAAGGCCAGATAAGACGGAGAGAAGGGTCCGCCTACAAGGACGCTCCAGGAAGAATCTGAGTATCTGCTGCCTCCACACTAGGGTGGGGAGGGGCTTCCCCCACCCTGCACACATAGACCTGGCTTCCCCGCTCCAGGGGAAGGACCTCAGGCTGCTGTGGGTCAGGAAAAGGGGCAGATGGGGCTAGATGGGAGAGAGACAGAGCTCTAGAACCCACATCCCTGGGCTGGGAGTGCAAGAAAAGAAGACAAGCAGGAGGGGCCAGAAAGATGCACACAGGCTGGTCTGGCCTGACAGGTGGAGACATGAGTGCTTAAGGGCAAGGCAGCAAGACACACGTCCACTAACCAGGCAGATGAGCACAGATCATGGGGCGATGAGGCTGGTCAGAGGCTGCCCAGGTGGGCTAACAGAGACGGGCAGACAACTGACCGGGGCAGACCATGGACTGGTCTGGACAGGACAGGCAGACACAGAGAGTCCAAGGCCTTGGGCTTTTTGCCCTTGACCTCTGCCCCACACCTGGTGGCCACCCCACACTGAGGGGAGCCCAGGGCCCAAGCCCCGAAGCTGTGCAGCTTCTGATCCCCAATAACTGGGGAAGAAACAGGTATACTCAAGCCCTGGGGAGAGGAAGCGGGAAGGCCAGGCCCACAGCTTCCGGAAAGGTGGCAGTCCCTTCTGCACCCTGGAGCCTAACGTGGGCATGTGGAAATCCAGCCAGACGCTGGGGAGTCCTAGCCCGGGCACCTGAAGGAGAGGCCAAGGCAAGGCGCCTGCTCCCGACGGCCGCCTGCCAGGCTGCCATGGCGAGGTGCGGGCAGGCCACCGGGGGCAGGCCTCCTGGGTCCCCAGCCAAGAGCCAGTCGGCAGCCAGTTCACCATGGCAACGCAGGCAGCGGGAGCAGAGTGGGTGTGAGCCCTGCCAGCTGGAGGATGGAGATGCTGGGGGAAAGAGTCAGGGCTGGAGGAGGACCTCCGGTTTGGGGGACCCATGCTCATCTATGGTGAAGAGGTTCTGCTGAAGGCTTCCTCTCCTCCAAGGCTGCTGCCACCTTCCGCACAGAAGTTAGAGCAGCAGCTTGAGGGACACCCCCACCCCCAACGCTACCGGTACAGTCCCCGGAACATCCCACTTATCTAAACAGGACTGTCCTTCCCCACAACCCCCTGAACTCACCTTGCAGCCCTCACAGGCGCTGACCCCATAGTGGTAGCCTGAGGATTTGTCTTGACAGACAAAGCAAGGCTTGTAGATGCGGGGGAGGGGAGGCGGTGAGGGGGGGCTGGGCACGATCTCTTCAGAACTGCTGCTCTGGGTCTCGATGGCTAGAGAGAGGAGAAGGGCGGTTAGAGACCCAGGCCACCACCCTCAGCACAGCACGGCGCCCACCTGGCCTCCAGGTCTCGCCCAGGAGCCTCTCCCAGCTGCCCCAGGGCTGCCAGATGTCAAATCCTGGGGCAGGGGCAGTCTTGGGAGAGCTGGCACTCCCCAGCCAGACTGCCAGTGACGCCTCCAGCACCCCATCAGTCCTGCCTCCTTCCCCAAGACCCCACCTTCAAAACCAGAAACATCACATAATAAACCATCAGATTCGTATGTGGATGTGCCTATACTGGGTGGGTGCCAGGTGTTAGGTGTCAGCCTGGGTCTACAGCCCTGGACCCGGGGTGCCCGGTCCCACCTCCCCCAAGTGAGGAAGGGGTTAAGGCCTGAAGGAGGGAGGGACAAGGACACAAGCTGGGGGCAGAGGAAACTGGGGTCAACAGGATATTCAAAGTTGGCCACTCCCCCACCCCCTCTGCTTCCTCTCCCCCCACCACCCCCACTACCAGCAGTGACAGCCCCTCCTCCGCCCAAGCAATCCCCTGGCCAGGGATCCAAGGAGGGTGCAGAGTCACAAATGCTGGGGCGCAACAGGCAGGGACTCCCTCAGAGAAGCAGGGGGACCCTGTGGAGACAGGGGGAAGAGTCCCTGTGGGCCCCGGAAGCCCATGGCTCTGAGCGCACCCTGGCTGGGGGGAAAAGCATGACAAAGGGGGTCTGTTTCCATCAATGCTCTGTCTGTCTGGCCATAGAGTCCATAGTATGTCCGGGTTACTGCCCCCCTCCCCTCCTGTTATTCAGCTCCAAGAGGGCAGCCAGGAGGATGACCCCGCCAGCAGGGGCAGCCCCCACTAGCGAAATCCTCCCCAGTGCCTGGCCCCATGCCCATCACCCCAGGCAGAACAGGACCGGGCTAGGTGGGGGCTGTCTGTGCCCAAAGCAAGGGCAGCTGCTGGGTGCACTGTACTGCATGAGAACTGTGACCCGGTCACCCCCAGATTCCCAAGGGGCCACCCAAAACCTCCTGAGGCCTTCGCCAAGTCCACTGCTCCAGGGCCAAGGATGCCTCCCTGAGTAGATAGATCCCTGCCTCCTCCCACACCCCAGACTCCTATCTAGCCTCACCCCAAGACCCAGCACATGAGGTTCTGAAATTCAGAGGGGCCCAGAGTTCCTGCCCAAGCACCTCACAGCATCTCACAGCAGCTCATGTGGCCCCCAAACCCAAGCACAGAGAAAAGCAGCACTCAGATGAAGGGCTGGCTAGCTGCAGGCTACCACCCTCCCCCCTTACCTGCAGACACAACTAGAGACTGCCAGGCGGTTGATGACAGGGAACCAGGCCAACAACCTTGGCAAGGCTTTCCCGGCTCTTAGCTGGGCCCAGGCACCACTTCCCTGGTCAGCCCGGCTGACCAGCACTGCTGTGGCCCCGCATCCCTGTCCCTGCCCAGAGAACGGCCTGCAGCAAAGGATCAGGGGATGCTCACACCACACTCCCAGAGATCCAGACTCTGCTGACCCTCCCCCCCTACTCTGCTCCTCACCCCAAATCGAACTGTCCTGGCCTGGTTTTCCCCCACCTCACTGTCCCAGAGGCCAGACAAGCAAATCAGACAGGCGAGAGGCCTGAGAACAGCTGCTGTGGGGGGGAGCGGGGTTGGGGGCCCTGGGTGAGGCCAGGAGGCAGAGGGGTGAGCCACAAAGGAGCCCTTTGTTGTGCTAACTTTTTCCAAGACGTAAAAGGAGTAACAATAGACAATCCAGACTAGTGGAGGGGGTGTCAAGGACAAGGGGATGTGGGGGGGGACCGTGGCCTAGAATCCCAGTCAGTGTTCCAACAAGCAGGGAACCCAATAAGCAGGGGCCGAAGGCACTGACCTACCCCCGCTCCGGTCCGCTCCTATCCAGTCTTTGCCCTGGGCCCACCTCCCCCAAGTCTCAAACCTCTCTAATGGACCAGAAGGCAGGGGGAGAAAGAGGGAGCTCTGGGTTCAGAGTGGGCTTGAGAGAGGGGAGGGGCACGGGGAGGCACAGGGGGTGCCCGGGTGAAGGACAGACAGCTCTGAGGCCAGGGACTGACCAGAGGGTCAAAGGCTTGTAGAAATTTGGAGCTATGGCAAAGTCCAGAGGCTGTTTATGAAACTGGAAGAATGTGCTTTTTTAAACTCTGCTTTTTGGCAGGATGGGGGGTGGGGGCAAGATGACCCAAGCTGGGGGTACAGTTCGGTTTCAGTGAGGCCTCCTTTCGGCCCACCCCACAACAGCAGGCTGCCTTTGGGGCCGGAACTCTGCTCTGCACCCCCCACCCCAGCCCATCCCCACCTGTCACCCAGGTAACAGCTCTGAGGTTTCCCACTGTGCCCTTTGAACCCAGAGCTCCTGCCCAGTCCCCACCTCCCGGGAGTGCAGCCAGCAGCCTCAGATGTGCAGGGTGCACTGGGACCCTCCCAGCCTCTGCAAGAATTAGCCTTAACTCTGCACACCTGGGGGAGTGAGGACTGCCGCGACCTGGCCCCTCCCCAGAGGCCCCAGTCCACAAATCTCTCCTCTTCCCGAAGAAGGACTGGACGGGAGAAGCACCACACCTTCTCGGGCTCAAAGTTCCAGCGCCTGGAGGAGGGCTGGCACCGGCCCAGGAAGCCAGGCGTCCCCTCCCGCCCGCGCTGCCGGGCTGCCCGGCCCCCGGCCCCGCCGGGCTGCGGGCGGGCAGGAGGCACAGAGCGCTCCGGAGTCCCCCGCGCCCCAGAGCCGCTCGCAGGCGCACAAGGGGCCGGTTTCCTGGAGGAGATCAGCAGGAAATCAGCCGGGCCCCCGGCCAGCGGCCCCCCTCCCAATCCAGCTGGCGCCCGGTCCTCTGCAGCTCCCCTTGCAGCCCCCGGGGAGGGCCGAAGAGGGGGCGCCGGGCGCTGGGTCCCGCCCTGCCTCCACCCCGGAGGAGGGCGGGGGTGGCTCTGGGTGCAGCGCGGTGGCCGGGGCGGAAGAAGGCCCCTACCCAGCGGCCTCCGATAACCATCTCTCCCCCTCCCCCCACTAGGGGCATCCACGTGCTTCACATTCTTGGACGTCTGGGAGCGGGCGGAGGCAGAGCTGCGAGATTGGTAGGGGACAGACGGAGAGCCACTTCCTGTGTACCCCTTATCCTCTGGCGCCCCAAATCGGGGGCTCTAGCGAGGGAGGCAAGGTCCCCAGGGTCCTGAGGGTCGGGAAGGTCTCCTCCCACAGCCCACCTGCTGTCTCCTCCCACCTTTGGTGGAGGTGGCAAAAGGGAATGGAGAACTTGGTGGAGGGGACCTCCGAGGGTTCCTTTCATCAAAGGACACACTGGAGGGTTGGGTAACGACCCCATGTGCTCTAGACTCGCTCAGGTCACCACCCCCAGTCTCCAGGTCCTTCCTGTGCCCCACAACCACCCCCAGAGCCCCCCTACCAGCCTACACCACCTTGGGGGCTGAGCCCACCGCCACACACCCACACTCCCACCACCGGGATGGGGCAGCCCAGGCCTCTGGCTCCACACCGCCCCGTGTCCTCCACTTCCCCGTCGCCCACTGGACTCCAGGCTCCCCTGGACCTTGTCTGGCCAGTTTGGGGCCAGGAAGAGCTGAGCTGCCCCCAAGGGCTGGAGCCCAAGGTCTCAGATCCGCGCTCCTCCCCAGACCTCTAGCAAAGGCGGCCGAGACTGTGGAGGGAGCAACTGCGGCAGCCATACCCCCAGGGACCCCACTCTGGAGGGGGGACACCTTCCTCCAGTTTTGGGAGGTCTGGGAAGAAGGGTCATGGTGTATGTCACACTTCTCGCCAGTCCCCTTCTCCCTTAAGTCCACCCATGAGCACCCCTCCCTCCCTCCCACCCTCTGCAGCCAACCAGGCAACCTGCCCCAGAGGCAAAGGTCAGGGGGCAGGACGACAGAGGCTGGGGGTGCGGTGGCTCTGAGATGGGCGTCGCCCCACCTCAGGTCTCTCTTCCTATGGCAAAGGCATTGGGGGCTGCCCTTCAACCTCCGGCAGCCCGCCAGGCCCCCAGAGACCCACTCCACCCGTCCTCCCTGGCCGGCAGGAGGGAGGCAGCCAGTCCGGGAGTGGGGGAGAAGCCCCAGGGAAGAGCTGAGCCCAGAGCAGCCGGAGAGGACGAAACCGGAGCCAAGTAACAATAACCCCCTGAGCGCCGCTCTCCCCCTCAGGTACACTGCCTCACAGCTGGGTATAAACACGCCCAGGTGTGCACCCCGGCACTCAAGGCTCCCGCCAAAGCACAGAGCCCCTCCCTTCCAGAGAAGCCTGAACCCAGACAGGAGACAGCCAGCAGAGGTGCCAGGACTCCAGGGTTCTCATGGGCGGCCCTTGTAGGGACCGCCCAGCGTCTGCCCCCGTCCCCAGGTGAAAACAGGGAAACAAAAGGACACGCTGCGTTGGGAGGGGACACATTCCTCACTTCCAGAGCAGCTCCAGACCCACAGAAAATCAAGCTCAGCCTCCAGAGAACAAACCGTTTTAGGATTACGGGGAGGGGGAACCCTTCCCACCAGATTGACTTCCCCTCTCCATTCCTGGCACAGCCAAGTATCCAGGACCAAGGCTACCCTCAGATGGACAAGGTGTAAGGTGTAAGGGTCGGGCACGGTGGCCAACGGGCATCTGATGGAGTTGCCCCTTCTTGCAGCACCCCACTGCCAACACCAAAGACCTGGAGTGCTCCCCTGACACCCACCCAGACGGCACAAGGGCAAGATCTGGGGGCAACAGCCGCTGCCCAGGAGGGGCTACCCCCCAGGCTTTGGCAGGAGTGGGATCAGAGACGGAGGCCCCTCCTCCGAGAAGCAGACAAGCCCACTCTACCACCTTCACCCCACCCTCCTGGGTGGCAGAAAGGACCACTTAGCTGTGAAGCTATTGGATTCCAAGCAAGGAGATATAAACTGGGGACAAGGGACTTCACTTCCCTTGCAAGAAGTAGAACGAGAGATGAACAAACGTTTCCTGAAAGGAGGAGCCCCCAAAG